AGTGGCAAACGAAGGCACTCTTGCCAGTAATGCTCCATCTGCAACCACAACACGATAATAACTTCTATGAATTGTTACTGTTCTGCAACAACTAGGATGGCCAAGTGTTTGCATAAATACGATCAGAACATCAAAACGCATTAATGTATGAACTGCGTCGCCTCAATTCAAATAAAATAAAATAAATTACAATATTTAGACAGGAAGCTACATCAGCTTTAGCTGGTTTTCATGCGCTGAAAACTGATTCTGTCGACATGCAAAAAAGGGAAATCGCGCACATGTCTCTAGAACAACACAAATTTGAAACTACATGTACGTGAACTTATTACCTCTTGATTTGCCACTATCAGATCCACTTCTGACCATAAGGTATCCCTAAACCTAAACAAAAGATCACACTTGCCTTAAATACACAACTAGTAACAATAGCTAGCAAATCTGCGCTATCAAACTCAGTATACGTAAGGGTACATCACAATACAATGGTGCACCGTCATTTAATTCGCTTTGCCATTTCCACTGGCAATGTTATGAAACAATTGATTCACGCTTTGAGCGGTGCATCATCAAAATTTATTACATGGCTAGTTCCGTGAACAGGCAAGATGAACCGAATCCTGTGCTACCCGAGCGGGCAAGATATCCCCATCTTGCCCGCTCAGGATTACCCGCCGTGTCCTGCAAGACAAATAGTGTTCTTTTTCCGTGCAATAAATCCTTTATTGACCAAGCTTGTTCGGTCAAGATAGCTGGATATTGGCCTCGTTCTTTTTCTACGACTCCGTCATGGTCCATAAACACGTTGTGATCCATAAACACGGGAAAAAAGCGATCTTGACCTCACGCTTGGTCAATAACCCATATATGTTGCACTTAGGAAGTTTGGACGGCAACTAAGAGGCCAAATTGTGCCTCGAGAAACTCTTACCCTTCCTTGTTACAGTTGTAATTACTGACCTGGTAGGTAATAATTACACAAAATCACGGAGACAAGTCAAAGGTTCACTTTTGGCAAATGCACCTAATAAATAAATTTACGATCAGATCACCGTACGCAAATCAACGTGTAACCAACCTTTGATCAAAGGAAATAAACTGCTGAAACAGCCCATACAGTAAACCAAGAAGTTCAAGTTCCTTTGGAAAGAAAAAAGACAGTGTTTAACTGTGTTATTTTGCAGAATACCGACAGCATATTTAGCAGAATACGTGAGTAAGACAAACTAAGGTGTGTGTATAACTGCAATGATCAATCATGTCTTCATATCTTTCTCCGCAGTTCAAATATGGCCACTGATATTATTCACTAGTATCTTCGCCATCTACAGGTATATTTTGAAGTCACAACGTGAGCATCTCCCAGTTGGCTTGATAGCTCAGGCCTGAGTTTGTTTGCGTTTTGTTTGACTTTTTTTTTTCAGGCTTTAATTTCACAGCTGCTCAAGTTAAGTACATAATGTTTCTGCGATGATCAATCATGTCTTCATATCTTTCTCTGCAGTTCAAATATATGTTCTTCTTTCATAATTCACTTGTGAGACATAATAAATACATTCAAAACAACTACTTAACAATGTAGATGCAACCAACCTCGCCTGTTTTATCAAGTTCAGGA